TTGGAAGGCTGGGGTGGGAAAATTGCTTGAGCCCAGGAGTTGGAGGTTGCAGTGAGCTGTGGTTGTGCCACTGCACTCCAGCCTGGGTGACAGAGCATGACCCTGTCTCTTAAAAAAAAAAAAAAAAAAAGGAAAAGAAAAGAATCATTATTAAGTTGCTAAAAGCTAGTTATTTCTTGGATCCTGTCAGATAAAATGTAATAAATAATGCTAGCTTCAGGTTCTGACTGTGTAATACAAATGAGCCCTGTTAATAAAATAGAATAAAAGTTAGAAGTTTTATTCCTTTAATATGCTTAATGGTTTCCATAGAACCTTTTCTAATCTTTTTTAGAGAATAATTTTAGGTGTAATTCATTATGCATTCTGTTTTTGTCCTATAATTACGTATGTTCATAATGTGGGTAGCAGAGAGAGGAAGAGAGAGAGAATGAGACTTCTTTGGTGGAGGGAAGCATCTCTCTCTAATAAAAAAGAATAAATAATCAAAGTCATAAGCCATACTTACTAAACTACTGTTTCTGTGTCAGTTGTTGCTAAACTAACCTCTAATGCCTTGGACAGGGGTGATAACATATAGGGGAGTTTTTGCAAAACTTCAAACAATTTCATTTATAAATGGCCTGTAATCAAGACCCTTTCTCTTACCTAAATAGTTTGCTTAAATGTAAGCAAAGGATAGTTAATGAACTTATCAAACATTCTTCTCTACAAAGTTACTTATCTGCATTCCTGGTATTAGTGCATTATGAGTTAATCTTCCATATTTTGTCGTAGCCCTAATGGACATCTGTGTTCCTAGACAGATTATTCTTTAAATGTTTAAAAAGTGTAGAATTCTAATAGGAATCCCCTTCTTTTTGCAGCTATGTCATCTTATCTTTTCATTATTAAAACAGAGCTTCCTGCTGCTATTTCAGAATTCTTGAGTAGAGACTACAGTGGGTAAGAAAAAATATTTCACATTGTATCCATTCATTTATTAATTCAATAAATATTTATTAAGCTCTACTGGCAAGTGAAACAATGTAGTCCTTGCCCTCAAGACACCTACAAATTAGGCAGGGGTGGAGAAGTAATAGAGTAGAAAACACTCAGCAGATGTTTATTGATTACCCATATGTACAAAGCACTGTGCTGTGAACCATCAGAAGCACCAGATATAATCCTTGCATTCCTTGGGGGCATGAGATGGGCTAAGACAGGTCTGAGATAGCTCTTGGAGAAGAATAAAAGAGAAATTTCTAGGGATATGAAAGATTGGGCTTGGGGGATGGGGAAAGGCTAATGGTACTAGAAGTAAAGGTCTTAAAGGAAAAGAGTAAATAATACTGCTGTCACTTCTCAACAAATCACAGTGATAAAGAATTTGGCAGTTACAACCATACTGTGTGAGATTCTTATTATATAGTGTGGTTAAAAAAAATTATTTGCAAGTTTATTTCCTGTTTTTTAACAATATTATAAACAATTCTAAACCACACTATATCTCCTTTCTCCTTTGTTTAAAAAAGACTAGGTTCTAAAGACTTGATTCATTCCTTTTATGGAGAAAAAAATTAATTGTGCTTTTTCTTTCACTCTGTCGAACAAGAAATTTTTAGAAAAATGAACTTGAAAAGATAGAGTAAATCGTTTTACTTGCCATCAAGTTATTTCATACAGTTTTAAAACCACAACACAAAACCCATCAGACTTTTAAATATTTGATTGTTTTGCTTCAGTAATAGAACTTGTTCTGGAATGCAGGGAAAGTTCAAAATTCAGTTTTTAGCTTTGACATCTTGGCTTCTATTAAAGAATTCTACTTGCACAAGTACAAATACATATTTGTAAGGAATGTATGGTATACTTTAGAATAGAAACCATCAAATTTGTTTGAAAAAAGGTAGATAGAAGTTCTTAATGATTTTGCTGCATCAGAAGATAATGTGCGTTTGTATAGTACTTTACAGTTTACAGGGTTTCCACATTCACTATCACATCTGATGCTCACAACTACCTTGCTTTATCTACAGCTTTATCTAGTTACATTTTGATTTTATGCTCGTAGTTTGATAAACACTTGCTGTAAGAAATAACTACATGAAACTCACTTTTGTATTTGCTGTGAAAATATTGAGGACAGTTTCTATTATTCAAATTTTGTGTGAAAAATATATTTTATAATTTAGGGCTAAGAGCTCAAGGCAGTATGAGGTGGAATAAAGAATGCTAGACTAAGACTAAGGGGACATGTGTTCTATACATTTCATATTCAATAACCTCAGGAATCTAATTTAACTTCTTTTGGCCATATGACTTAACTTTGAGCCATAAGTTTTTTTACCTGGTGTAATGGGATTATAAATACTGCCTTCTTAACAAAGTTTTTGGGTTGATCAAATAAGATATTATACATACAAATGTTTTTGTAAGCTGATAGCACAATGTAAATTTGGAGAATTAAGAAATTCCAATAATAATGACTATATTAAAGGTGATGTTTCCCTTTTTGCTCTGACTGCCAGGAAGCTCAGAGTCAAATTTGAATGTATTGCATAAACTGTTTTGATCCCAATAATTGTCATGTATGTTTTCCTTTTTCTTGGTCCTGAATTTGGTGACATTTATTTACATTTTTTATTGTCATATGTCTTTGCAGAAAGAGAAGGGATATAAATACATGTAAAATTTTGAAATAATTAATGTGTGGCAGAATTGGTATTGAAACTTAGATGATCTTTCTCTAAAAGAGATACTTTACCACAGCTTCATTTAAATCATTTACCATTTACATCGTTCAGGTTTTTTTCTTTTTTTAAAAACAAAAATTAAAATGAACTCCCATCTCATATTAGTAGAAAATTGATTAAAATGTTACTTTTACATATCAGAAATGGATTTTTTAAATTGTGTACTTCAAAATACTATGGCCAGTTTGTCTTCTCAATTATGATGTTTTAAAATTGCACATCTTTTTAACAACCTCATCTTGTTTTAAATGTAATATGTATTCAACTTATTTTGGATTTCAGAGTTTTGAAAAAAATGAATAAATGGCTAATCATATTAATTGATTAGAATGCAGATAAATCATTAGTCTTTAAAGTTTAATGATGTAAAATAATTAAGAAGCAAATGTTATGATAATTGACTTTGCTATCTATATAGGGCAGTTTATTTCTAGATAGAGTTACATAGCAGAATTTCCTCTAAGAGATCAATGTATTGATATGCTTATTTTAGGGTTTAATTTACAACACATTTTAATTAAGATCTTTCAGGTGTGCTTATTTTCTGGATTATCTCTGAGTTTGATATAACTTTGTGAAATATAAATCTTTATAAAAATATTATCAAAAGAAACTGTGTTCATAGTATTCTAATTTCAAACATTTCTATTAGAAGTCAGAAGTTATAATGCTTGTACTGAGCTTTCATGATACATCTATATTTTTCAAAGAATAACTTATATTTTTAAAATCTATAGCTGTTAAAAGTTGGAAGCTCTCTGTTAACATTTAATGATCTTGTCAGGGGAATATGATTGACACAATTAAGTTGTCTTGAATTTGAGTTACATAATTGATATGGGATGTGAGTAAGATCCTAATTCAGAACATATGATACTCTTGTTCCATTCCATTCGGGAATGAAATTAAAGCAACTTATAAATAAATCTGGTTTTCATTAAAATATGGAAAAAAACATCTGCATGCCAAAGCATTTGCAATACAGCTAAGGATTTATACTCTATATTTCATACTTGGAACATTTTTATCATATAGGATTAAATCCACAGATCAAACAAGTTTTCCAGGAAGTATAAAACTTTTTACTCTAATTCTTTTGGCTTAAAGAGAGTGTATATTTAGATCACAGTAGGAAAACAGGAGTTCTGTTAGATAATTCTTTATTTTCCCCTTAGGAAAAAATTTAAAGTTAGTGCATTCTTCTAAAATCTTGATTTATAAAATAAATTTACTTAATGTGCACGTTTTGAGATTTCTTTTTACTGGTTTGTATTTCTCAGGCTGGAGTTTTGTTTTATAAGTTTAATCATTTCTGTTCTTTGGAAAATATCCATTGCCAAACACAATTCATTTAGCTGTGACACACACATGAAATCTAAACTAACTTTACATTACTGTGGTGCCTTTATTGTTAATGAATGGTAAAGAAAAGCACTACATTTACATTAGGCTTTATTAAAATAA